CCATATAGCAGAGGAAGAGCACTTAATCTGTGACACACCGGGACCTGGGATCAAATATTACTCGTAAATCATTTTAGAATAGCAGTTTACTGGAGCATTATGAAGGAGAGAATACCATAAACACACATAAATCATATATATGGGTTCTTTCTTTTCTTTGCAAAATTCGAACATTTCATTTGAAATGTCTTTAAAATGAAAATCACTCAAGTGACTGGGAAAAAGCAGAGTGAATATTTTCTCAATCGACATGTTATTTTATATAGTTTTAACATAAAGCTTATGGCGTAAGTTAAAACCTTATCCAATGATCTTCTGGGCTAGTGGTAGATGCTCATTTTAGCTGCAGGAAAAATAATCCCACCAAGACCTTCAAAAATGCAGTTCTTCAAATGGCCACTTGAGGCTGGCTCCAAAAGCAAGTCAATCCCCATAGACCCCCATGTTAAAATGTCAAACTTTACAGCAGTAATAGACGTGTTTGCAGCAAAGAAACGGTTTTGGTGTCTATAGCTAATATTTACTTTCATGACAACTGTACGGAGGTTGAATTTTTATATAAAACTCACCCATTTAAATAATATGGAGGCTTAAAGTTATGCATGATTAAGGCCGTGGCCGCTTCGAGCAACAGGCGAGTGATGCTAACGCCGAAAGGGTACGTCCCCTAGCAGCAAAACCGGGAGCCAAGTAATCGGTGCATTTGGGAACTAGTGCATTCATTGCACTAGTTCTTTAAATGGCGTAACTTTTAAAAATGTGCAATGTGTTCATGGCCCCTCTAAAAACTATGGTAGTCCAGCTCATGACAGTAAGCCGAGTTGACGCAGTCGGTGAGTTTCACCGTGGTATAAAGTGATACCACACACACACTGGCACAACTCGACAAAGTGTCTTTCCATCCACCACTTTTTATGTGCATTTCCAAATTTGCACATTTTAAAATCTTTGCAAAAAAAGGTTTATGCTTGGCTGTTGTGGAATTGTTTGTGTATTGATACAAATTTCAATGGAAACAGAGTCGAATAAATGCGTGAAACATGTGTCTTTGTGTCCGCTGAAGAGACAAAAATAGCGGCAGACTAAAGCTACGTCTTTCCTCAAATGAATCGATGAAACTGGATTGACAGTAAATGCACGTTTTTCGACATTTTTGTTGGGTTGATGTTTGACTGGAGCCCTTTTAATCACGTCACCTCGATATTCAGTGAACAGAAGTGGATAAAGGCACACATCTGTTTAACGTTTGCTCTGCATTCGCACGGAAACCTGGCTTATGGATCTTTAAAATGGCTCCAATTGACCCTATAAATCCATTTCAACACCACAGATCAAACATCTACATATTTCTCTTCTGATTGAACCATTACTGGGACACAAAATATTTTTAATCTGATGGTGGCTTTCAAGAAGCATTATTACACAAGTGTTACAGTACTCCTTACTTAAAAGACAACCTGGTTTTCGGTATTCCTTATTTTAGCATAAAAGACTCACACAAAGTGGCTAAAGGATTTTTTACATCACACAACAATCACACATCCCCAGCAAGCATACCCTCCCCTTCTCTCTTCCACCGTGCTCTTGGTACTGCGTGTGTGTGTGTGTGTGTGTGTGTGTGTGTGTGTGTGTGTGCGTGAGTGCACCTCAGTGGTTGTACCTAGCGATGGTGCCCTCCCCCGGGTCTTTGATTGTAGATGAGCTGAACCCTTATGGGTGGGGATGGGCAAACAAGCTGTGCCTCTCCTCTCTCCCTTGCTCCCTCTCCGTCTCATCAGTTACAAACAGTGAAGTCATACCTTCCAAGGGACCCGTTTTTTTTTTGTGCTATCTGCCATGATGTCACCGGCAGCCAATCAACACATAGCGCCGCTTGAGGAAGCGTGTGTATGTGTGTGTGGGGGGGGGGGGTTCACCACTGGGAAAAGCACAGTTATTATCTGGCTCAGCTAGGCGAGCTCCAGAGCACACATGCACTTCAAAATCACGAAATCTGCGGTCTCCTTCTGATCCCTGCTGCCTCTCAGTGATGTAATGCACTCTGCGTTACATAAGAGCGCTGTATGCTGCATGGCATTGATAGGCCTGTGATGGTAATGATGTATTCAGATACAGTCCACACGGCGCATTGTGTTTCACGAGGTGATTAGCAGCCCTGCGTTTGGGGAAACACAGCTCAACTGCTTTTACAATTTCACTTTGAATCTGCTCCTTTTCATTCCATTAGTTCAGACAATTAGGCCTCATCATAGATAAACATCCTGTGTTTAGTGCAAAACCCAGACAGTTAGTCGAATTTCATATTGACCTCACTTCAAGGTGACTGTGGAGGCCTTTCATGCTTCCCTGCTGCAGCCTTAATACGCCCAAACCTTCAAGTCAAGACAGATCATTCGGATTTGCGCTTTACGGCCAGCCTCGACCGGATATTCAGTTATTGCAGTGGTGTAATTAGTTTGGTCTGTTTCACAGCGAGCACATTCTGCTAATTGCGAATCGGGACGAGCATCAAGTGCCCGGGATTGAAGCTCAGCAGAATGTCATCCTCTGAGCGTTTGTGCTTTCAGCGAGCTGCTCCTCCTGACCTTTTACTTTGCTGTTACACACACAGCACCTCCGTTAGCCCGAAGCATTACTGTCCCATCCTGCTCTCAGTGGTTCCTGTGTTCATCGTCCTCCTTCTGTTTGGCCACACACGTCCAGCAACACCACAAACATTCTTAATATAGCGTACATTTAGGTGTCTAAAATACCTCATACAACCCCACTTTAAAAAAATGATCCAAACTATCCCTTTAAACATAAGTGCAGCTTTAAATCAATCATTTCTACAGCACAGGTTTCTACATATTTGTGATTCGTCCGTCATCTGCACTTGAGTGTAGGAAGAGTTTTAGCTGATTGTAAAAAAATGACGTCCTTTGCTTTGCTGCAAAATGTTAACGCCACAACTAGTGATCGCCCTTGCTTTAGTTATTTGCAGACGTAATAGATAAAGTCCCGTTGCACACAACGCCCACTGTTTGCTAGCGCAGGCAGCGGAGCAGCGTCTGCAGGAGGAACTCGCTGCCCCGCCGGCCTCCTCGCAGACCGCAGAGGGACGAGCAGCGAGTACATCCGATTAGCTGTATATCGACTGGTAAAATGCCACCATGCTCATAAAGCCAGGCTACATAGTAATTAGCCTGGGATCGATGTGTGGCTGTCGAGCAGCTAGCCTGACAGACACACAGTTTCACTGGGGTTACACCAGTCGCTGAGCCAACGGAGGGAATTATATTTGTGAAAGGTCAAAGTGTTATTGAACATCAGTTGCATTACTGTCACATTACCTCCTGCATGTTTGCGTCCTGTCAGTTGGAATTAGATGGAAAAAAAGACTGCCGAGATGAATCACATTCAAGTGTCTGCGGGTGCCGTTAATCTTCTCCTGTTCCCAGCCCCTTGGCCTTGGCTCTGTATTGGATTTGTCGCCGGCGGTCCTTGCCGCCCTGAGTGATGGAACGTGTTGCTTAGCACATGTTTGTGTTATCACACACACACTTTCACTCACTTCTCTGGGTGGAACCCTTTTTGCTTTCCGAAGACCTTCTTGCTACATTTCTCTCTAATCTGAACCATCTCTGATCAGGCTTACCACCCCTGCCTTGTTTACTTCACGTCGACTGATGCCACGATAGCCTCAAGATCAGACGACGTGATGGTCACTGAAAGGTGATGAATGGAGTGTCAACACTTGTTTGGCAATAGTAGTTTACCATCAAGTACCACGAAAGGATTAGTTTGTCATTTAATCGGAAACATGCTTATTGGCTTTCTGGTAGAGAGTCTGATGAGAAGATGGATTCCACTCTCAAATGGGAAGCCACTAGTCATTGATTATTATTGATTAGCTTAGCATAAGGGTCGGAAACAGATGATCATATAGTTCCTTTTCGCAGCAGCCATTTTAACGTGTGATAGCAGAGTAAGCAGAGGCGTAATCGATCAAATAAATGATGGTCCTGTTCTATTTAGCGTGTAGCAGTCATTCCAGTGAGCCTGCATACTCAATACCAGTGCCATGGCCCATCGAAATGGAACAGGGCCAGGATTCATGTTATTAATTACATCTGTGTTTACCCTTCAATGTCTTGTCAAAGGGCCTATTGTCAATTAGCTGTCAACTCATGATACGATATTATCACGCTACTTAAGTCACGCTGCGATCTTATGGTGAGTTTAGACCTTTTTGTGATAATCGGAGTATTTCGATAACATATACAGTATATCGCGATACTTTGGAATTTATTCTTTTTTTTCAATTACAATTTATGTATTTTGTCTGTTTTTCCACTCGATTCATCTCACTTCACACATCTCACTCTTATTGCAGCAAAATGGGTTTGTCAGTGACGCAGACTGACCACCTCCATCTTTGTTTTCCTGCCAATATCGCTGAGACAGCACCTTCTATTGGACTGAAAAAGCATTGTTACCAAAAGGTTTAATTTGTGTATGCAATATTGATAGTTAATTTAATAGAAGATTGATACTCGGTGTCCATTTGTATCGATACAATATTGCCACGCAAAATATCGCAATACTGTGCTGTATCAATTTCTTTAACCCCACCCCGAGTCTTTATGCCAAGCTAAGCCAATCAGCTGCTGGCTGTAGCTTCACATTGAGCGCACTGACATGAGAGTGGGGGGTCCATCGTCTCATCTAACTCTCTGCCAGAAAGCGAATGAAACTATTCCTTTGAACGGAGCTCTTATTTGCTGACTGTTGCTGTTGTTATTGAGTGGACGCCGGTGGAGTTCACGTGGTCGGCTCCTAGAAATAGGATTCATTATTCTCAAACCCTTAAAAATGATCTGTCTGCCTTTATATCTGCTCTGTGGTTGCAGGAGTATTGTACATGCTCTAAATGTCTGAATTTAAATGTAATGGTGTGAAATGCTCAAATAAAATGGGCTCGTTGACCTGGCTGACCTGTGAATGCCATTAACCCCCAGGTGCCCACGGAGTGCGAGAGGAGCCCCAATTTGTGACGGCCCGCGCGGGAGAGAACGTCATCCTGGGATGCGACGTGTCCCACCCCCTGAACGGCCAGCCCTACGTGGTGGAGTGGTTCAAGTATGGAATGCCCATCCCCTTCTTCATCAACTTTCGCTTCTACCCTCCTCACGTGGACCCGGAGTACGCCGGTAAGATGGCGAACACAGTCACATTCACACCACAAACGGCAAAATGTCACTGCTCTCTCCGGTCAAACATTTCACGTCTGTTTAAATCTCTGACCCCAGACAGCATGACTCAGGAGTGTGCTCGGTTGCCCCCAGAACTAGTGGTGCACCGGATCATAAAACTCACGGTTCGGATGGGAACACAGATGGGATCAGCTCAAAAGAAAAAAGGGAGCAAATATCATTTTAACAGATCCCAGATCACCTTTTATTTTTTGCCGCCGATACTAATTGCTGATCATTGATGACATCATTGTAGTATAAGTTATGATTTAATATTACTAATTTTCACAGAACAGAGCCTGAACGCATCATAATGTAAGTGAACGTCACCTATGTTTGTTAGCAGTTAGCGGTGCTGCCACGGACACCAGCTCTCCTCCTGTCAATTAAACACGGATTGGTTGTTTTCAATGTAACATATTGAGAGATCAGCAACTAGAAAAGCATAGACGCTGATGTCCTGATCACATATTTTACGGAATGGTGGCGAGGGGAAGTGCGTGGATGTGAGGCAGGAGTCACTCAGGGGGACGTTCACGTTCTATTTTCAGACACGTTTAATGACATCGATAAGTCCCGACCTGTGAGGTTCAGGGCTGATTCAATACAGTATGGCAAACGGCGTGTTGAGCTATTTTGAACCCATTAAATACAGGGTTTTTTCCTGCTTCCTGGTTTTGGAAAGAACTGTCAATACTAAAACCAGTCATGCAATTTAGTTTACAGCTCAAAAAGCACGTTTGAGTGTGCAGCACAGCGTTCCCCCTCCAGACAGAAACAAGGCTGTGCTTTCAGTTCTTTCACTGTGATGTTTGTTTCACATCCATCTGCTGAAGGAGGAAGGTGTCTCTGTGTAAATATCAGTGTAACATTAGTGTGGAAAGCCAATCACAGTGATGATAGAAAACTATTTAGCAAAACTTTATTGTCCATAGAGAAACTCACGCCAATCAAAAAGTTTTTCTTACTAATCCAATATATATTTGTGTGTAGAATAGTTGTGGACAGCCCTGATTCAAAGCAAATATTACAAATGTGGCATCAAATAGGAAGTGAACTCGGTGCATTTCCAGTAGGTACATAAAGTGTCTCCCTTGATTTATAGAAGAGTCTCCCTTACAGGTGCAGCAGTGTGTTTTACAGCTCTGGGGAAAGTCGTCGCTTCCATCCAGCTCTTCTCATGAGATAATTCACATCAAAATATTTGGATGGAAACACGGTGTTATAGGAGCAGTGTGGGATCTTCAAGGAATAGCTAGAGAGAGAGAGAGAGAGAGACGGTGGGCCCGCTCGGAGCAGACAGCTGTAAAGGGGTCAGTTGAAAGTAAATATACAGTGCAGGTTTCGGTTTGTCTCTGAATAAACGTTGCAGCACCTCAAGACCTAAGAAAGCTATGCGAGTTAGCTTCCTTGAACCCTGTCTTTGTTACATTAGGTCAGCAGACACAGACGTTTTGGAATAAAGCAAACCAGAGACGGATCATTATCGACACTGTTTTGCCAACAATCGCATCATTTTGGACAGTCGGGGTCAGTTGGAAGGCCACACACAACCGCACCGCTGTGTGGCTTCAACAAGACGGAAAATTACAATCAAACCGCAAATCGGAATTAGTTGGACAACAATTAATTGGCAACTAAAATTTCACGACCATCACAGTTTGGGCTGGGTGATATGGATAAAATCAAATATCACAATATTTTTTCACCAAAAAGCTCAACATCGATATTGAGAGGATAGCTATGGGTTGGTCGTTGGTTCTTTTACAACAATTTACACAATGAGATTTTTGATTAAATAATAAGTAATGTGGATATAATGACTAAGTGGGTAAAGAGAAATAAAATAAATGCTAGTCTCAGACCACGATATTGATATAATATTGATATAATATTGATGTATTGCTCAGCCCTAGTGTACAGTGATAACTATTAGTTTGATACTTGTCGTAGTGAAACCAGTGGTAGAATGCTCAGGATGTACACACATCCGGGATCATAGAATCACATTTTGGTAAACAAAGACATGAAACCATCCCCTTCTTGACAATAGTGCTGTCTTTGATCAGCGGTGTGCTTACAGCGGTCGACTGTAATAAATCTGTTTACTAACTAATGCAGACAGCTTTAATGAGATGACATGTCCTTTAGAGAGCAGCTCTTTCCACCACAGATTAATCATGTGTTGTGCTCAAGGTGAAGTTTGCTGAGGAGGTGAGAGGGATTGCCTGCTGTTGATTTCCTCCCCTCCGATCATTACATTTCAGAAATAACCCCCCCCTTCAAAGAGCTTTTATCATGTATTTATTCATGTCATAATAAATTAAATGTCAATTTTTCCACGTGTGAGGAGGAGTCAGCGCAAGCAGCATCCACGTGTTGGATCATCCAACGAGTTCAACAGCATTTCCCTTCTGAGGGAAGGTGTTCCTAAAGCAAGCATGTAAAAGGAAATAAAGAGAACAGACATTGTGTCTGATCTCTAGCATCAGCAGTACCTGCACACAAACACCAGTCTTTCAAGGAGAAGCCAGACCTTTGAAGAGCTGTGCCACTAATAACCACGCAGGTTTCAATTTATTCATTAACTTAAGAAGAGCATTTTTAGTACGATGATGTATCCTAAAATCAGATTGAAACAAATCAATTGTACTGTTTTCTCAAATGTATTGTTTTTCATAATTTCACTAATCATCATTGAGAGGCTCTAAGGTTCAATTTAAGACATTTTCATGTTGAACCATGAGATTATTTCCCAATAATCTGGATGCAGGATATTCTTGAGAATTGGGAAACTTTAACGTCTGTGATATTATGTTAATATTGGTATCACAAAAAGCCCTTCATAATACCAGATCATTTTCTTTTTCTCTATTAGTTAGTCCAAGGAATGTACACTTTGAAGCTCCCACAGTTTAAGTCCCACTGTCTGAAAAACAGTATAATATCCACTAGTCTGTAATTATCAGTTTTAAGAAAGTGCACATCAGATAGATTACATAGTATAAATGAAATATTTATTTGTAAAAATATATGCCAAGTTTACTCTAATTAGCAAAACCATGCCGTTGACATGGCGGATACTAATCTTCACGCGTGATTGAAAGGCAGCCGGTTGATCTGCCGCTGTCTGCATCAGATACAGGAAAAGGTGTATTTTTAAAGAGTCCTTTACATCCCACCTGCCAGCCGCAGCAGGAAGAAAAATAGAGTGTCAGACTAGGAGATTGTGGCAAAAATACTCGAGCTTTGTGTGATCTTTCATGCACCCTCACCCACTTTGTCCTCATTGATTAGATCACCAAGTTTCAGAAGCTTTTGGTTACAGTTACAGAATCCTGACCGCAGCAAAAAGAGCAGCAGGATGGGAGTGCAACCCCAAGTCCCTGAGGACAGCAACAATCGAACCATCGAGTGTGATAGCATTGTGTCTTCAACCAAGCAAAGTCTATATAGTAGACCTGGAAACCAGTTCATTTATAAGTTAGACTCATGCTAGGATGGGGTTCAATAGCATTATTTTCAATCCAATATTGGACTCTCCTCTGGAATACAAATCGTTTCAAAGGCCGTATAACAATTAAATTAGGTCCAGCTTTCAATATCTGCGTGTAACTGACATACATAACTCAAAGTCAGTTTACATCTGTATCTCAAGTTTTCCTGGCTGGAGACAGGTTTTAGTAGCAGCCCGCTATGTTCACAATATAAGCGCCAAAGCAACAAAATGGCCAAGCGTGGTCAACTACATTGTCGGCGAGTCGCTGTTGAAGTGTTTCTCAAGCGAGCGTTGACGTTGTTACGTCGTTAAATATCACTGGGAACCAGGCGGCAACCTCCAGTTCTTCCAAGTGAAGCCAATGCGGAAGAGTCTTAAAACTTGCATTCTCTCTACTGACCAGCAGGGGGCGACTCCTCCGGTTGTATAGAAGTCTATGAGAAAATGACTCTACTTCTCTCTTGATTTATTACCTAAGTAAACATTGTAAACATGAGTTTATGGTCTCAATCTCTAGTTTCAAGTCTTCTTCAATACAGCATGATGTTCATTTAGTAAATGATGGTCCATTTAGAGTCAAACAGACCATAAAGCAGGGGATGCTTTAGGGCGGGGCTTACTGTGATTGACAAATAGCTGCCAAATTCCAAATATGGTTACACCGTTCATTGGTTGTGAAAAAAACCCTGCTGGTCAGTAGAGAGAATGCAAGTTTTAAGACACTTCCGCATCGGCTTCACGCTGCAAAACAGGAGGTTCCCGCCTGGTCCCGCCCTGGTCTTTGGGAATGAGTGCTCCAGACACTTATGGTCCCGGTGTACTCCAACAGAAGCATTTGTCAGTCAAGCCCCCTTGTTTTTTGAGGCGGATAAAGATATAGATATCTGGTAGTTTTAGTAAATGTGTTAACTGTATCTTGGTAAACTCTTTCTAGTTCTTCTTGTCAGGTTGTACAGCGTCCCATCAGATGACACATTGTTCATACTAGATCTTTACCCCCGTTCAAACCTCTTATCACTGTTGACCTAAACATAGCATCCATAGAGTGATGTTTCTTTGTACAGACACCGGTTGGTTGAGAGCACATCACCCAGACAACAGCCTAAAGTTTCAGTCCTGCTGCTCTGTAATAAAGGTTAATGACACTGCCGCCAGCAACGTTTGTCATTTTAACTGGAGAAAGTGACAGCCGTCACAGGCTAAAAACAGCTGGCTAATGTTACTTATATTGCTCTCTCTCAATAAGAGAAGAGAGATAAAAAAAAGACATTTGTCAGCATCGGAGCTTAACCTATTTGTGTATTTTACCATATGGAACCAGATCCAGGATGTAACTGTTAATTGTGACCTATGCTGCACTCATGTGAAGACCAGAATCCACATTTAGAGTCCCAGGGAGACGGAAGTCAGAGTGTGTTTTGCCTCTGTGCTGTGAAATGATACATTTAGGAGACGGATT